GAAATTTGTCTCAAACCATTTGGCACGGTATTCGCAGGGAAAGACACAAAGGGAAAGACAAAGAGATTCTTGTTTCAAGTTGCTGAGATCGAAAGATATACAACTTCGCAATATACGAAATTTATTGTTCGTATGAGTAACTGCACCAAGAACAATGATGGAGACAAGAAGGAACTGAAGAAGATAATCACTTGGTACTCAGAAATTCGAAGGACAATGCACTCAGTTGCGCAAGTTCTCACTAATTGAGTGACTTCGACTGTTTACAAAGGGGGAGAATGTTGAGTCATTTAGTTGTAAAAGTCGAAGCATTGTTTGTTCTATTTCGCATGTATTTATTTACTAAGTCTTTTTATGTTGAAGCCTAATGTCTTGACTTACTATTTTTTGTATGATAGAAGTAGAGGGACGAGTCATTCTGCTTATTATTGTAATCAGTATTGTATTAGAATTCTCTGTTCAATACAAACTTGTTGATTAATATTTACATATGGTGTTCATATCATTCATTACTCATTCATCTAGATCATGATTGCTTTCTAAATCTCAATTACAATTGTCATCATTTTTACTATTGATGGTTCAAATGATGTTTCTCTACTGAAAGCATTAGGGAAACAGGGTAAGATAATTGATGATATGTAGTATTTTTCATGTGTGCATTCCTCTGTTAAGCTTTGCACTCATCTGTATGTAATTGATTTGTTAGAATGTTTTAACCTGATGTTTCTTATTACAACCGAAATAAGAGTTTTAAGAAATGACATTATACTTTTGTGTTTTGCAAGTGTTTGGGTCCCTTATGACCATTATTCTTTCCTCTCATCAACATAATATTCTAAAGAAAACCAAATTAAATCTTTTGTAGGGGTTAAATTGAACTCATTCTCCCTTTCTTTTGCAGGAGATGAATGGTTTGACTTGGTTTGGTTTCAACATAGAATTTAAAATTAGTTTCATTTGGTGTTTAGTTGTTCAAAGAAAATTGATAACTCAAGACAGATTGGAAAAATGGGAAGATGATCTTTGATTTTGTTATCCTCTTTGAAGTTTTTAACCATACTAACTTTGTTGGATTTCTCACTGATGAAATTGGATGCAATTTGTTGGTTTTAAAAAGATTATATGTGTCTTAAGAAGGAATTCTATGAATTAAGGAATTTATTACCATACTTATCATTTTGATATATTGAAAAAGGAAAAAAAAATGAATCAAGTAATTTATTACTATACTTTTCATTTTAATAGATAGAAAAGGGAAAAAAAAGATGACACTCGATGGATTATGATCGGTTTTACTAACAGAAAATAATGGTAATATAGAAAAATCAGTAATAAAATTAAAAGTATTGACTAAATTTGGAAAAATAAAAACTAAATGATGAAATTTGTAATTAATATGAACATAGGACAAATCTTAGATAAAAAAATGAGAGGTCTTAAAATAAATATGAGTGATCAAATTCGTTATAAAAATTAAAAAATGGTTGAAATTATAAATAAAAAAACATAAGATAATATAAGATATTTATATAGATACTAATGATATTTTAGAAAAATTATATTAATACTATTGATATTTAAAGTAAACAATTCTTAAGGAAAAATGTAAATTATAACTCAACCGACATTGTTGGTTGGAATTATATATATATATATATATATATATATATATATATATATATATATATATATATATATATATATATATATATATATATATATATATATTAAATTTATCCATCCTTAGCTACAGTAAAGTGACTAAGTTGTGGCAAAAATAGTCGAATAGCCACTTGGGGGACAACTTCCACGTGTTACTTCTTTCTGCACTTCACTGCCATATGTTTCGGTATTTGCATATGTTGTCTTTTTTTTTTCTTCATATTAGTCCTTCATTTTTTTTTCTTTTCCACCTTGAGTATTGGTCTATCTTTGTTTTGTTGGTGGAATAAATTGCAGTTCATCGACATAACCAATAGATGCTACGTGTTCATCACCGCCTCTATCGGCCAATATCTATCTTCCATTTGTTCCTCCACCTCTTCCCTGCTCCGATCTCTTCTCCACTTTCTTTCTTCTCAATGTCTCATCCACCGACTCACTCTGCCTCAAAGCTTTCTCTCCCTCTCAGATTAATCGCCTTGTTCTTTTGCTTATCTAACAATCGACTCTGAAGAATAACAGAAAGGGAACGACGATGTCTGTGTTCAACACCACCTCACCCACTACTCACCGACTCTACCTCCTTTGTCGTTCCTTTTTTACTATTAAAACCCTAATTTTCAAAAGCCAATTATTTCCTTTGCAGCCATAATAAATAATGTATAATTTGGACTGTCTTAAAATGTGTATGAACACATGATTGATTGTATATTATTAATCGTGAAACACTTCTTAATAAAACGTTTACCTTCTTAGATGATATTATTACTTAACATTGTTCCAAATTACCCAAATCCATAAATATGGAAAATATGATCCGTAATTATCTGAAATTTCTAATATGTGCAATGGTTCGGTTTGGTTTTTATTAAAACTGAAACCAAATTCATTTTTTTTCTTTTTCTTTATTTTTGAAAAGTTTAAATTGTCATTTTTTAGGTTTTAATTATTTGGTTTTAGGTTTTTCAGATTTATTTTATTTTATTTTAACAATATTTATGGCCTTATGCATTAACATTTTTCTTTTATGTTTTTACCTTTCCATATTAAAAATAGTAAACTTTAGGAAACATAAACTTATGAGTAAATTACAAATATAAATATGATTTTGAAACTTACACATAACAAAACTAACTTTTCTGTCTTGAATTTAATTGCAGGAAAGACCTGTTATAATCTTAGTTTATAGTGATAACATGTTTGATAGTTGACTATTAATCATCTAACTTTCCTAAACTCAAATAAAAATTAATACCTATTCTTCTAATGTTAATATATAATTACATTCCAAAAATATAACAATTACAATGTACAAACTTTTGCTTGACATACTTCTTGAGTTGCGGGGTTGTAAGGGACCATTATCCTACAATAACAAAAAGCTCACGTCAACTATCATAAAATGGTCTACCACTTAGAAACATTTCACCTGCACACAAACACAAATTGGGCAACATATAATAAACAAATGCCGATTTGATACATTTATTATAAAACATTAAAAATAATGGAAACAACCAAAATTTTATTTAGGCCTAGATAGTAGGACACACATATGAAAATAGTGGTTTGATTTAAAATATCAAAATGGAACAAAAAACACAAATCAAAATGATTGACAAACATTAAAGATCTAAACCCTTCATCAGTTGAACATCATTGACAAAATGTAAATCAAATCTCAAAGGTAATCATACTTAATGTTCGTTTCAATCCTTTTTCTTCTACAATAATTAGATCCAATAAAAATATAAGTTAACAACACTGTGATTATATCCGTAACATAGAGGAAAGAAAAGAAATAGAAATATGAAAAACAAAAGAGAAATAAAAGGATAAAATACATGGATAGTGATCGAAGGAGATAGTATTGTTTAGAGCGTAATTTCAAAATTCAAATCAAGTCACTTGAGAGATTCATTATCCACCAAAGGCTTCTTCTTTCAAGATTCTATCCTAAAACAAAAAAAAACAATGAAATAGATTTGAAACACGCATAAAGTGATTCATCGATCGATGGGGATTTTCTAGATCACCAAGATAAGGCGGAAGAATCATTTGGGGATGGGTGATTCGATGAACCAACAACGATTGTAGAGACAACAGTGATTTGATGGTGGTCGAGATGTCGCTCAGTAGACGTGAACATTTTCGGTTAGGGAAGAAAGAATGAGGTTGGTGGTAGTGGTTTCCTTAACCGATGACGGAGGTGACTTCGATCGTTAGGACGATGGCTGATAAAGGTGATGAGGTTAGTCATAGCAGCGTTCGACTTAGGGTTTCAGGAGAGAAAAAAAGAGAAATATGTTGAGAGATGTTGAGCGAGCGCGGCTGAAGAGAGATGGTGAAGTTGCAATTCTTGAAATAAGCAGAAGAGAGATATAGGAGAAGCATGACCAAATAGAGAGATCTTTTTACCTAAATATGAGGATTTAACGTAGACTCCAAATTAACGGGCTGAAAGTGACGAATATTAATTCAAAGTCCCTTTAGCCTTTGACTTTATGATTTTTGTTGACAATATAAAATTTCAATGCAGAAACTTGTTGTACAAATCGTATTATGGTTTTGTACGACTTAATTTTTTTTTGATTAAAAATGCTTTATAAGGTATAATATATATATATATATATATATATATATATATATATATATATATATATATATATATATATATATATATATATATATATATATATATATATATATATGTTAAGTATTGTATTCATTAAGTGAAGAAGAAACAACAGTTAGTTTTATCGTTTTAGAACATTTGCTTAAAATGTTTGTGGTTGGCATACATTGAAGGAGTCAGGTTGTCTATCTCTGTCTAGCCAAAAATGTTTGTGTTTGTGGGTTGGCAAAATAAGAACGTACATGTCTTGTGGGGCAAGTTAAGATCTATAATTCAAAAACTACGGCGCTTTTCTTTTTATGGAATGTCAAGGAAAGGGAATAATTCTACAAAATACGTATTAAAGGAAATAGAAACAAAAAATATAACGGAAAACAAGGAATAAAAAAGTTGTTCAAATAACGTTATTATTCAACTACATTGGATGGTCTTCTAGCGCGTTCTTCAAATGCTGAATTAGACCCGTCTTCTACAAGACCGTTTTTATAATAAAACACAAATAACCTGATACAATAAATACTTATTCCATTGACCAATAAAATATATTCAATCATTTGTGAATGTATAACGAAATTGGCGATGTCACCCACTGTATTATTTAAACAAAAGGAGGTTGATCAGCTATCAATATATATCATGCCATGGAAGTGCGTATGTAAATTCTATAAACATTTCTGACGAGATTACCGAAAATTGCACGATGCTAAGCGATGTAATACTTGACAAAGACGCACCTGAGATTCATGCGCCTGCTGATGCTAAACTAAGCTGGCTGCGCTCTCAAATAATAGGTGGAAGTGCATGGATTCTGACTCCATTCGGAAGACGTTTGCTAACATACGCAGACCACACAGCCTCAGGTCGCTGCCTTCAATACATTGAAGACTATATCATCGAAACTGTTCTTCCCTTCTATGGTAACTTCATTTCACTTTTGTACATCTTATTCACATATTATGATTAATCAAATCACCTCTAAGGACAGGATGAATAGAAATCCCTTTAATTCATTCTTTTTGCGACTTTTGTTATTTCCATTCAGGCAACACTCACACAAGTGACAACCAAACCGGAGACCAGACCATGAGAATACTTCACGACGCAACTGGCTTTGTTAAAAAATGCTTAGGTGGAACACAAGACGATGCACTCCTTTTCTCCGGATCGGGTACAACAGCATCAATAAAACGTCTTCAAGAAGTCATGGGAATTGCCATTCCTTCGATTTTAAGAGCGAAAGTACTAAACTCATGTCTAGAAACTAACGACAGATGGGTAGTTTTTGTTGGTCCTTATGAACATCATTCCAACCTCCTCTCTTGGAGACAAACCCTAGCAGAAGTAATAGAGATTGGTTTGGATGATGAAGGATTGATCGACATGGATGATTTAAAGTTCCATCTAGAGTTTTACCAACACACTCGACGCCCAATGCTCGGTTCTTTCTCCGCTTGTAGTAATGTAACCGGAATTTTAACAGACACCCGTTCTATGTCTCGCTTGCTTCACAAGTTTGGAGCTTTCGCATGCTTCGATTTTGCAGCAAGGTACGTGTTCTATACAATGTTTCAATAATAACTTATCGTAGATATGAGACTAATATATTCTTTTGATTTTTAATCGATTAAAGTGCTCCCTACGTAGATATTGACATGAGATCAGGTGCCATTGATGGATACGATGCCATAGTTTTAAGTCCCCACAAGTTTCTTGGAGGGCCTGGATCACCAGGGATTCTTCTGATGAGTAAGACCTTGTACAAGCTAAAAGATTCTCCTCCTTCGACATGTGGAGGTGGAACTGTTAACTACGTTAATTTTTTTGATGAAAAGGTAAGTGTATGCGCATATGTGTATATAACTTCGTTGAAAAGTAGAACTACATGTTATTTAAACCGAATGTCGCTAACCAATCCAGTTTCTATAAACTTTAGGATACATTGTACGTTAGTGACATTGAAGAAAGGGAAGACGCAGGGACTCCACAAATTATCCAACGAGTGAAAGCAGCTTTAGCTTTTCAGGTCAAAGAATACATCGGTACGAAAATAATTGCAGAGAAGGAGAATGAATATATTGGAAAGGCAATTGAGAGACTCATGAAAATTGAGAATATAAGTGTGTTGGGAAATACTAAAGTAGAGAGACAAGCAATCGTATCGTTTATTGTTTACACAACTAGAGACTCTTCGGATGATAAGAGAGACAAGTCTCTTGATGGTGCTTTCGTTGCTAAGCTTATGAATGACTTGTTTGGTATTCAAGCTCGAGGAGGGTGTGCTTGTGCTGGACCATATGGTCACCACTTGCTTGGTATTGATGAAACTCATTCACTTGCAATAAGATCTATAGTCGAAATGGTAAAAAAAAATTCTTGATATATATTTCTATTTAACAATAATTTCTTTTTCAATCATCACGATTTCATTTCTTGTCAAGTTATATTATTTCAAAGAAAAATGACATGGGTTTGTAACATTTTGTTTGCTTTTTTTTTTCCGGCCATATGTAGGGTTACATTGGAGCAAAAGCGGGATGGACAAGAATAAGCTTCCCATACTACATGTCCATTGAAGAATATGAATTTATTATATCTGCTATAGAATTCATAGCTATTTATGGACAAAGGTTTCTTCCCTTTTACGACTTCAATTGGAATACAGGCAGTTGGAAGTTTAAAACTAAACCTTTTGAGAAGATAGTGCTAAGTGAGAAGGACCGAAAGTTTTGTAAATCGTTTTTTACCTATGCATCAAAAGCTTTACATGGGAAAGGCAACAAATCAAAGACAGAAAAGATTATGGAATCAAAAAGAACAAATGATACTCATTCATCCAAGTTCAGATTTTATTTAGAGGTTGCAAAACACATAGGTAACATACTCCCAAAGTTCCCTTCTCAATTTAGTACTGTTCCCAAGGGCATAGACATCAATGGTGTGGCGTTTCGAGTATAGTTCCAAACTGGCCGGTGAACATCCAGCCAATGATTAAAAAAAAAGCGAAAAACAAGTATTTAGTTACTAGGACTGTAAATATTAAGTTTATAAATGTTGTAAATTCTCAAACATAAATCAAAGGAGAAATTTGGGATGTTGTAAATTCTCAAACATAAATTAAAGGAGAAATTTGGGATGTTCTACGCAAATTCTGTTAATGTACCTATTTATTTACTTATCTATTTTAGTGTAGGTTTGGTATTCATGTATAGTATAGGGGTCGTTGTGTATCTTATATATATATTGTATCTTGTATAAATATTGATGAGAATACAATGCAAACCCCAAGGGGAATTATTTATAAGGAAAATGACTTAAAAGTCCATTGAAGTTTTCAATCCCTTCAAAAACCAATTATGTTTTATATGTTCAAGAAAACTCAACGAACTAACATTTTATCTAAAAAAATCCAACTAACTTACACTTTCATTCACTTCTCATGTAGGATCAATCGGCTAATGAAACTGAACGAATGATATGACTTATAATGTGTAACTAAATATTGGAAAATGATTTGTAAGAACAACAAAGTTTCAAAACCGTTTAAAAAACCTCAATCATGTTTTGTTTGTTGAAAAAAACCCAACGAACTTACGTTTTTGTTCAATTCTCATTAGAGGCAACTATATTCATTACATATACAATAGTTGGCAAATGACATGACATTATATTTAATGACATGGAATAAACAAATTAAAATTTCCCTTTATATATCGATTTAGGGCTTGGAGAAGAGAAAAACAAATGATATCTATCTTTTTTCTCTTGTAATAGCTACTTCTTCTTCCTCTCAATCGTTGATGTCCAACTCAAGATCTACAAATAAGATATTTGATGATGAAAACCCTTGTGAATGTGGACGCCCTTCTTTGATTTGGACATCTAGAACGGAGGATCATCCAGAGAAAAAAGTTCAGGGCTTGTTCAAACAGATGAGTAAGTGTAATTGAAAATTTTATCATGTCCACATGATATCAATTTGTTTGGTTTCTTTCAAAAAAAACTTATTAAAATGGATTGATGTGTTTAATTTAGTATTCAGATGTAGTCATCACAAATCTTTATCGGGAACATAATCATGAACATTGAGATTGACCCTTATCCATGTTTCAATTTTATATAGATATCTTTAGAACAAAGAAACAGTTGATCAGTTATCTAGGGGTTGAATCTTGATTTAATCATAGTTCAGCAGTTGCTTTAGATGACATACTCTTTGTTGATTATTTGAAAGTACTAGACCTCGTATAGTTAATGAATTGACCAAGTGGAAGACTATTAGAAATAGTGTCCAAGATCTTTAGCTATTAGTAATATTTCCAATAATAGCAGTGCCCTTTTGGGTTCCCCTTAAGACCCATTTAAGCATTTAAAAGACAAAAATGGATTTAAGAGGAATTAGTTTATTCATGTGTCATGTTGTGATAAATTAATTAGAAACTACTTTTGAATTAACTAGTAATCTAATTAAAGGGACTAAATTTTAATTAATTAAAAAGTTTAATTAATTACAACAATCCAGAAGGATAGGGATAAGGTTCGACGAATTTGGATAAACCATATCAAGGTTTTGTAGTTTCTTTAAGACTACGCAACTGGATGACTCTAAATAGGGAGTTATGGATCAAACCCAAGATGTTCATTCCTTCCTCTCCCCTCTCTCTTAGATAAAAATTATAACCCTTCTATGGTTAGTAAAATTTTCGATCTTGCCTCCTCTCTCCTAGCGTTTTGGTGTTTTCCCCTATTGGTGTTCTTGGGTATGATACCATTAGAGAGATTCTACTTTGGGTCATCTCATCTAATAAAATGTGGCAAGAACTCGATCTCAAGTAAGGAGATCTCTAGCTCCTAAAGTGATATGTAATTTCTTATAACTTTTAGTAGTTGCAATAATAGAATGAAACTTAGATTCTTATAGCTTACATAAACACGTAAGAATTGTTATATGCTTCCGCTGGCTATGATCTTGTCTAAGTATGCTTTAAGTTATTAGATGTTGAACCCTTCAAATCATCACTTTGCAATTTTTTAGCTTCAAGTGATTGCGCGCAAGAGAGGAATTAGGTGCATATGTAGTATGATTTTTGGTTTAAAGGATTCACATGTTCGATTTTTCATTTCGTTACTGCCATCGCTCTATCATATATCTTTCATGATTTCTCTCTTTTACTTTCACAAATATCTCCCAAATCTTTGAAAAGAAATGAGCTATAAGAGTTGTTTAGCGCTTTTCATTTCATATAACACTCAATCACTCTTGAGTTATGAAGAAAATTCTAAAAACACCATGTTAGACACCAACTCACGGTCACCAAGCCACCAGTGCTTCACCGAAGCACCACATCGAGCTTTGTTCTCCAAAAGCTTCTCTTCCTCTCTTTAACTTTCCTGATATTTTATCTTCTTTCTTTATCACCTTCTTTAGAAAAAGAGTTCTAATGGTTTTTTGATTCTATTTTATGTGCAGGGAGTCAATCAACAAACACCTAGATCTAAACAGAAAACAGATGGTTAGTTATTTTTTCTTTTTCAATCAGACATCTATTTCATCTTTTTTTGTCGATCAATTTTGGCCAGGTTTATATAAGTAGATTTAAATAGAAAAATGGATGATGAGGTGTGTATTTCTTTATAAGTATGTTTACTTCGTTGTTATTTTTATTTTGTTATTTTTGCATATTAATTTGTCATTTGTCACTAAGTTTTGTCTATATGTTGTTATGGTTGACATTTTGTTTTGCAACTAAAACTACAATTAACTCTTTGTTTCACAACCTCCTTCATTCATGGGATGTGTGTTTTTCTAGAAAAACCACTTTTTCATGCACCATGCAGAACACGCTCAACTCTTGGCATATCGCAATTGTTTGTTTTTTAAAAGAATTTTGACTTAAAAACTGTTATGCGTATGTTACGAGGTGCAACACTAAACTCTCATCTTCAAACCTCTTCTCTCATCACTCTAAGTTACATTATTTAACATATAATTGCTTTATTTTTTTTCAATATGTTTATTATTTTAAAAGTATTATTAAGGATATTATAAACAATTTAAGTATATGTTACACAGTTTCAAAACCGTTTGGTAAATTTCATATAAATATTTTTTTACATTGTCTATAACCAAATATTAATAAATTATAAAGTTCGTCACTAAAATTACCAAATCTATTGAAGCTAACCTTAAGAAAATAATCATCATCTTGGAAAATTTAATAAAATGAACATGTTGTTTCCAAAATTAACAATTTTATTGATTGTTATTTAATTATTATGTTTCAATATTTTATATAAACGTTTTGAATGGGTTTTATTTGATGTAGTGTAGATAAATAGTGTCAGTAAGGTGACTTCTACATTTTCTCTAAATACGTGACATAAAAAAACAATTTGATTAACAACCACAACATTAAATGTAATTTAAATGAATAAATATAATATGTAACAAAAAAAAAATTAGGTGTGTAATATGGTCTAGGATGTGTATTCTTAGAACAATTATTGTAATATGAAACTATTTTAAGTTTGTAAAATCATTTGTAACTTCCCAAAAATCATAACCAAAAATTTCATTTTTAATTTAATAATAAAACCACAAGTGTCAACCATTCATTCAAAAAATATCACATCAGAGTATCATGTCTAAAACATTATTTTATTTTATCAGAGTAAACATCCCAGACTAAAACTCATTTGGTGTGTGTGCCATGAGATCACCTCGAACTCTTCCCTCCGCTACCGAAAGTACTTGAAACCAAAACTGAAAACCGTAAGCACGAAGCTTAGTGAGTTCCCCAACCTACCACATACCATACATAATCACATACTGCAAGCATCGGGCCTCGCTCGCTACATCGAGCCCCGCCCGGCTCCGGACGAATCCGGCATCAAGCCCTGCCTTCGAGCCCCGCTCGGTATACAAATCTATTTCTCTTAGGCCCCTCCTGTCTCTGGGCCTCGCCCGCTAAACACATACAAACATATAACATAACATATAACAAGTATCTAACAAACTCTACTCTACTCCTGATCTAAGGCATTGCCTAACTAGGGCCTCGCCCCTGTCCTGCTACTGACGAGTCATGGAACCCCGTCCACGCTCTTGCTGATAGTAAGATACGCGCCCCCGCCCACACTCACCTCTTGTAACGCACGCGTTTCCAGGCTAGGCATTATCATTGATGTGATAGTCTAGGTTAACCCTTGTAACTCTTTTTGAAGTATTAATGATGAAATATTTGAGCATTATGTGAATTAAGTGAATTATGTGTTTATTTTATTAATTATTATAATTTAATGAATTAAGAATAAAATAAGCGTCAAATTTGAAGTGTTGGATAATCCTGATATCTTTGCATAAAGATGTAGTGGTCGAAACAAGGATTCCGAAGATATAAAGAATGCCGAAATCCGAATTATAACGAAGAAGTTATGACATGTCGAAGTTTCGCGACAGAACCAGCAACGCTGAATGACGTAAAAAGTGAAATTTACGTTAGAGCGATATTTAGCCTTAGTGATCTAAACGAAAGTCGTAGAGTTCGTTAAACCGAGAGCGTGCATAAAAAGAACGCCCAAATCTGACTTCGTATGAAGAAGTTATGATTTTTCGAAGTTTCGACTTAGCAGTATGCAGCCCGAATACTCGATTTGAGACTGAGCGGTTTTTAGCTGAAACAATCTGAACGAGAATTGAAGATCTCGTTAATTGTAGTGAAACGATGAAAAGATAGGCGAAAACGGACGTCGGATGAAGAAGTTATGATTTTATAACGGAGTTTTCCTGTCCCGACCTACTAAAAATAAAAAATAAAAATAAAATCAAAATTAGCCGACGGAGTCTAAAAAAAAGTTGTAGATCGTAGTCTCACCTACGCGTGGATATAAAGAACGTCGAAAACGGAGTTCGTATGAGGAAGATATGAATTTTTGAAGTTTATTAAATATTTTCGATATTTAATTTAAATATATATTATCCGATATTATCCAAGGGGGGAGTTAGCGACCCTATCGTCATTACGCCCAACGTAATCTCAAGTTACACCCAGCGTAATTCGACCTTCCAGCCCCTATAAAAGGGT